AAAAAAAAAAAAGACAGAGTTTCACTCTTGTTGCCCAGGCTGGAGTGCAATGGTACAATCTCGGCTCACTGCAACCTCCACCTTCCAGGTAGAAGCAATTCTCCGGTCTCAGTCCCCGAAGTAGCTCAGATTATAGGCATGTGCCACCATGCCAGGCTAATTTTTTTGTATTCAGTAGTGACAGGGTTATACCATGTGAGTCAGGCTGGCTGTGAACTCCTGGTGATCCATCCACCTCGGCCTCCCAAAGTGCTGGAATTACAGGCGTGTACCACCATGCCCGGCCTCTATTTTTTTTTTTAGATGGAGTCTTGCTCTGCTGCCCAGGCTGGAGTGCAGTGGTGCGATCTCGGCTCACTGCAACCTCTGCCCCCGCAGGTTCAAGCAATTCTCCTGCCTCAGCCTCCCGAGTAGCTGGGATTACAGGCGCCTGCCACAACACCTGGCTAATTTTTTTTTGTATTTTTAGTAGAGATGGGGTTTCACCATATTAGCCAGGATTGTCTCGATCTCCTGACCTCGTGATCCACCTGCCTCAGCCTCCCAAAGTGCTGGGATTACAGGCATAAACCACTGCGCCCGGCCCTCTGTTTATATAAAAAAAATTTTTTTTTAAATTGCTCCAGATGGGAGCATCAAGGCTGAGGATATTGAGTACAGAGAGAGGTCTGAGCTCTGGGTGGCCTGTCCCCAAGCCAGCACTCTTTTAGACCACCAACTGCCTCTGGGCCTGTGCTCACCAGGTGAGCCCAGAGGCCAATGTGCAAGCTTGCAGAGGGAGAACAGCCTGGTTATGTGCAGGGAGTAGGCCCTGGGGGTGAGTGGCCTTTTGGGACTTTTTTTTTGAGACAGGGTGTCACTCTGTCACCCAGGCTGGAGCATAGTGGCACAATCACAGCTCACTGCATCCTCAACCTCCTACCTCAGCATCAGGCTCAGGTGATTCTCCTACCGCAGCCTCCAGGTAGCTGGGACTACAGGTGCATGCCCGGCTCATTTTTTGTAGAGATGGGGTTTCACCATGTTGCCCAGGCTGATCTCAAAAACTCCTAGGCTCAACCCATCCACCCACCTCGGCCTCCCAAAGTGCTGGCACTGCACCCAGCCTGACTTATTTTTTTTGAGACAGTCTTACTCTGTCACCCAGGATGGAGTGCAGTGATGTGATCTCAGCTCACTGCAACCTCATCCTCCCAGGTTCAACGGATTCTCCTGCCTCAGCCTTCTGAGTAGCTGGGACTAGAGGCATGTGCCACCAAGCCCAGCTAATTTTTGTATTTTTGGAAGAGTCAGGGTTTCGCCATGTTGGCCAGGCTGGTCTGGAACTCCTGGCCTCAAGTGATCCGCCCACCTCAGCTTCTGAAAGTGCTGGGATTACAGGCATTGGCTATCACACCCAGCCTGAGTGTTCATTCTTTTTTTTTTTTTTTTTTTTTTGTGGGGGTTTTTTTTTTTTTTTTTTTTTTTTTTTTGAGATGGAGTTTTGCTCTTGTTACCTAGGCTGGAGTGCAATGGCATGATCTCGGCTCACCACAACCTCCACCTCCTGGGTTCAAGCAATTCTCTTGCCTCAGCCTCCCGAGTAGCTGGGACTACAGGTGCGCACCACCATGCCCAGCTAATTTTTGTATTTTTAGCAGAGACGGGGTTTCACCACGTTGACCGGGATAGTCTCTATCTCTTGACCTCGTGATCAACCCTCCTTGGCCTCCCAGAGTGCTGGGATTATAGGCATCAGCCACCAGGCCCAGCCTGAGTATTCATTCATAAAGCATTTGGTGGCCTTAGTGAGGCCCCTGCAGCCAATCCCATCAGTGGTAGCCTACGTCCAGGAGAAGCACACCTGTGAGCTAGCCGGCACCAGCCTCTGGTGCTGGGCATGAGGCAGGAAACAAGTCCCTCCATCTTCTGAGCTGAGCCCAGCGCTTTCCGGACACTCCTGCCACGGCGAACAGATGCCCAGCAAACATTTTTCCAGGGCTACTACTAAAGGCCAGCATTTACCTGTGTGAGAGCTTATATGCAACACAGAAGAGCTTCTAACAGTTATGCATTTATTTTCATATGTAAGAAGAAAAACATTAACTAGCGTGTGAGCATGACTGCATGGATACACGGCTCAGCGCAAGGCTAAAGTCAGAAGTGAGTGAAAACAAAATAGCATGTTGATTTAAATGAAATAACAGGAGGCCTTTGGTTATGACAATTGTGGAGGTGGTCTGTGAATGCAGAAGTTTGGGATGCCCTGCTTTAGGCTTAGGGCGATGCTGCGCTCTAGACTGAAGCCCCTTGGGCTCTGTAGAGAAGCTTGCCCAGTGCATGGCAGCTATGGGAGTCTCCTGGGAGCCTGTGGGACAGTGAGACCCCAGGGAGGAAAAGGAAAGCACATTCTTTTTTTTTGAGACACAGTCTTGCTCTGTCGCTCAGCTGGAGTGCACCAGCAAAATCTCAGCTCACTGCAACCTCCACCACCCAGGTTCAGCTCGGCCTCCTGAGTAGCTGGGACTACAGGCATGTGCCACCATGCCCAGCTATTTTTTTTTGTATTTTAATAGAGACGGGGTTTCACCACGTTGGCCAGGCTGGTCTCGATCTCCTAACCTCGTGATTCGCCTGCCTCAGCCTCCCAAAGTGCTGGGATCACAGGTGTGAGCCACCACGCCCAGCCTGGAAAGCACATTGTTTCACTTGTCCATGCCCTGCAAAATGTCTTAGAAGTGATGAAGCAACAATGTTAATTCTCATTCAAAAGGAATCTTCCAGGTGTGGCCTTGAGGAGGCGGTGGTTACAAGACAGGCTGGGCTGCAGGGCCCAAGTGGGACTTGAGGTCATAACCAGGGGGACAAAGGGACACCTGTCCCAGCACCATTTTGGAGAAGTACTCGTGTGTTGTGGACGGGAGGGGGGCGCATGGCTCCTGTCACATGTCCAGGAGGCACGCTTGGCCCCTGCACCCTGTTCCCAGCATGCAACAGGCTCTCACTGCATGCCTGCTGACTCACTGCAGCACTGGGAGAGGGTGCTAGAAGGCAGGTGGGGGCTGCTGACATCCCAGGGAGTCTGTGAAACAACCTCTCCTCCTGGACCTGGGCCCCAGCCCCAGTTTAGCATAACCTATGCCAGGGTGGGGAAGTCCAGGGCTGTGCCCCCACTGGGTCCCATTCTTGTATGTGTGAACCACAGAGAGGTGTTTGCTACTATACCCTCTACCCTAAATCCAAAGAATGCTGGTTCCCATCATTTCAACCTCAACATTTTCAAAAAGCATTTTTCTTTTTCTTTTTTTTTTTTTTTTTTGAGACAGAGTCTCTCTCTGTCTTCCAGGCTGGAGTGCAGTGGCGCAATCTCAGCTCACTGCAACCTCTGCCTCCCAGGTTCAAGTGATTCTCCTGCCTCAGCCTTCCATGTAGCTGGGACTATAGGCATGCACCACCACGCCCAGCTAATTTTTGTATTTTTAGTAGAAATGGGGTTTCGCCATGTTGGCCAGGCTGTTCTCGAACTCCTGACCTCAGTGATCTACTCACCTTGGCCTCCCAAACTGCTGGGATTACAGGCATGGGCCACCATGCCTGGCCTAAAAAGCACTTTTTAAGGGATCTTGGAGTTTTTCCTCAAACAGCTCAACCCTACAACAGGCCAGGCTGGTCCCAGCACCCCTACCAAGCAGCTACAGTCAGTGATAGGGGTCCAAGTGCCCCGGCAGACTTCCCCCAGCTTTCCCCTGGAAGTGGGGTGGGCCCAGCAGGGAATTCTGGGGGTGACGCTCATGGTCCAGGAGTCTTCTGGTGCCCAGAGGGTAGAGGAGGAGTGGAAGGTTGGGGGGCACTCAGCCCGCTGTGTCCTGGACAGGCTGAGACGACTTGCAGGCTGGTCCCTATGGAGGCTCAGAAAGAAAGTGTGCAAGAGCAGGTCAGGAAGGGAAACCAAGTCAGGGAAGGGCCCCAGCTGGGGCTAGTGGTCCATTCACTGCCCGACACCCAGAGGGTGCTCTCAGCAGCACCCTGCAGCACTCCGCTTCACGTGGCACGGCTTGCAGAAGAGACGGTTGTTCAGGGGGTAGCAGCCTTGGTCCGTGGGCTCCACAGACAGGAGGATCCTGCAGTCCTGGGGAGACAAGGACACCTGCAGACCCACCCCAGGCCTGGGCGCTGCCTGCACAGCGGAGGAACTCACTTGGCATCTGCCACATAAACCAACTGCATGAGTGGAACTGCGCCTTAAGCAGGAGGAAGGAGGCTGCTCGTGGCTGTCCTCCCAGCACCTGGGCCAGGTCTCCATCAGGGAATACGAGACGCAGACACACACAGGGGCTTTAATCCACGTGGAGGCATGGGTGAGGACAGACATTCACTGTCAGGAAGACTGAGGACACCTGGGGGAGTCCCCTGAGGGTTCAGGGAAGGATGGGGCTAGAAGGGCCTTAATAGTCCCTTTATCATTTTTTTAAGGCTGGGAGTGGTGGCTCACACCTGTAATCCCAGCACTTAGGGAGGCTGAGGCGGGCGCATCACCTGAGGTTGGGAGTTCGAGACCAACCTGACCAACATGGAGAAACCTCGACTCTACTAAAAATACAAAATTAGCCAGGTGTGGTGGAGCATGCCTGTAACTCCTGCCAGTCGGGAGGCTGAGGAGGGAGAATCGCTTGAATCCAGGAGGTAGAGTTTGTGGTGAGCTGAGATCGTGCCACTGCACTCCCGCCTAGGCAACAAGAGCGAAACTCCTTCTCAAAAATAAATATTATTTTTTAAAATTTGTGTTTATTATTCATTTATTTTGAGACAGTCTTGCTCTGTGACCCAGGCTGGAGTGCAGTGGCACGATCTCAGCTCACTGCAACTTCTACCTCCCAGGTTCAAGCAATTCTCCTGCCTCAGCCTCCCAAAGTAGCTGGGATTACAGGCGTGCACCACCATGCCTGGCTAATTTTTGTATTTTTAGTAGAGACAGGGTTTTGCCATGTCGGCCAGGCTGGTCTCCAACTCCTGACCTCAACTGATCCGCCCACCTCCGCCTCCTATGCTGGGATTGCAGGTATAAGCCACTGTGCCCAGCCTAACAGCCCCTTTAGAACATAAATTCTGTGAGACAGGAACCCTATTTATGGCCAAGTCTCCAGCCCAGCCCAGCGCAGCCAGCCACAGGCATCTGCTGATGACTGCCTGAATCTAGTCCAGTCTCTTCATTTCATAGCTGGGATACCGAGGTCCAGGGGAGGGGTGGGCTCTGCCCCAGGTCACACAGCTGGTTCTGGAGCCGGGACCAGATGGGGTTTCCAAGCTCTGGGTCCAGGGGACTTTTTGTGGCTCCATGGCCCACACAGCTTCAAAACTGGCACAAATGTTAGTATTTTCAATTTTTCAAATCACCAAGGGAGGAACACAGGGATTCAGGGCCCAAAGTGCCAACATCACTGTTCTGCCCCAGAAACCTCCCCTTGGCACATGCTGGAGAATGACAGAAGGGAAAGTTTGTGTGCAAAGCCTTGGTTCTGGGTACCCTTTGGAAGCTGCATTGATCCCACAAAAGAGTCCCTATAGGGACAACTTCGGGGTCACAGGTGGCCCTCCTGGCCCAGTAGAGACCAGCATCTGCAATCTGCCTTCCTCCATGGCCAGCTGGGTAAGGCACTCTTGAGTGTCTCTTCCCTGTAAGGCCACTTGAGTCTCTTAAGTGGACTCCGGGCTACACAGCTGCAGCATCTGTGCCACCTGTGACCCCTCCTAAATGAGAACCAATTGGAGGAAACACCTCATCTACTGCCAAGTCTCATACCATCTGCAAGGCAGCCGTGCGGCAGCTGAAAGCTCGCCGAACCCAGCCCACGCAAGCATGGCTGGAACCACTTTTCTGAGACCATTTGCCTGTTTTCCCTTCTCTTTTTTTTTGACAGGGCCTCGCTCTGTCACCTAGGCTGGAGTGCAGTGGCATGATCATGGCTCACTGCAGCCTCCACCTGTGTCAGGTCCAAGCAATCCACCTGCCTCAGCCTCCAGAGTAGCTGGAACTACAGACGGGTACCACCATGCCTCGCAAATACAAAACATTTTTTTTGTAAAGATGAGGTCTTACTGCCCAGCCTGGCTTCAAACTCCTGGGCTCAAGGGATCTTCCTGTCTCAGCCTCCCAAAGTGCTGGGATCACAGGTGTGAGCCATCACACCCCATCTGTTTCCTCATCTTACATGGGGACAATAAATCCCATCTCACAAGGCTATCACTAGGATTAAACAAGGTGATGTTAATAAAAGCATTTTATACATTTTAAAACACTACCTATGCATAAAAGTATCGTTATACTTCCAACGATAGTCATAAATAATACGGACCCCAAAGCAAGTAGAAATGGTGAGATGCAGGCGTGGGCAGTGCACGGAAACCCATTTTCCTTCTTAGGAAACAGTACTCAGCTCCTTCCAGGCTGCTGGGGCTCAGGAGCCTCATTTTTATTTATTTATTATTTTTTTGGAATGGGGTCTTGCTCTGTTGCCCAGGCGGAGTGCAGTGGCACACTTTTGGCTCACTGCAACCTCTGCCTCCTGGGTTCAAATGATTCTCCTGCCTCAGCCTCTCGACTAGCTGGGACTACAGACATGTGCCACCATGCCTAATTTTTTTTTTTTTTTTGAGACAGTGTCTCACTCTGTCACCCAGGCTGGAGTGCAGTGGCATGGTCTCGGCTCACTGCAACCTTCGCCTCCCAGGTTCAAGTGATTCTCCTGTCTCAGCCTCCCAAGTAGCTGGGACTACAGGTGCACGCCACCACGCCCAGCTAATTTTGGTATTATTAGTAGAGACAGGGTTTCATCATTTGGGCCAGGATGGTCTCAATCTCTTGACCTCATAATCCACCCACCTTGGCCTCCCAAAGCGCTAGGATTACAGGTATAAGCCACCGCGCCCGGCCTAATTTTTGTATTTTTAGTAGAAACTGGGTTTCGCCATGTTGTCCAGGCTAGTCTTGAACTCCTGACTGCAAGTGATCCATCTGCCTGGGCCTCCCAAAGTGCTGGGATTACAAGCATGAGCCACTGTACCTGGCCAAGAGCCTCATCTTCTGACACGTAACTGCTGGAGTCCAAATTCTGACTTACTACAGGAGACTTGGCTAACTCACTGGAGGGTTTATGTGCTTCCTGGCCAGGCTTAGGAAACTGCCAGTCACTCTGGAACTCATTAGGACGATGGTGGGGATAACAGCCCTTGAACTTCCTCATTGGGCTTTCAAAATGCATTATCAGCAGGACTTTGAACTACAACCAACAGACAATGTAATGATGCAGCAATTTATCAACTTCTCTACCCAGCTCCCTTGACAACCACAGTGCAAATAGCCTCTGGGTTCCAGTATCTGTTTAAATAAATGGGAGTGAACAAGTGTTTAGAATTACTCATCGGCTGAGTAAGATATTTGCTCTGGGGCTCTCCACTTGGGTCCTCCCATAAAAGTTGCCACCTTGTCACCATCACCAGAGAAGATAGAAGCTTCAGTGATGAGGAGCTGGCAGTAGAAGGGGTGGGAGAGGGTTTCTGGAGGCTCCTTAGCAGCACTAACTACATAATTTGTAGGATCCAGTACAAAATGAAAATGTGGGGCCCCTTGTTCAGAAATTAAGAATTTTGGTTGGGTGTGGTGGCTCATGTCTATAATCCCAGCACTTTGGGAGGCTGAGGTGGGCAGATCACTTGAGATCAGGAATTCAAGACCAGCCTGGCCAACATGGTGAAACCCTGTCTCTACTAAAAATATAAAAATTAGACCGGTATGGTGGTACGAGCCTATAATTCCAGGTATTTGGGAAGCTGAGGCAGAGAATTGCTTGAACCCAGGAGGCAGAGGTTGCAGTGAGCTGAGATTGTGCTACTTCCCTCCAGTCTGGGCAACAAGAGTGAGACTTCATCTCAAAAAAAAAAAAAAAAGAAAAAAGAGATGGAGAGAGAGTCCTGATGCCATCACTCAATACCCTCAGTGATCCTACCACCACGAGCCAACAGATTGCCTTTTTGCAGAAAGCAATTTGAGTTTGGTTTCTATCATCAATGCAAAGAGTTCTGATTAATAGACTATAGTTGTATTTCCTTTATCTTTTGTTTCTGCTACTGGACAGTGAGCAATTTGAGAACAGGGCCCCCACCCTGACCTGTCCCCATGTCTCAGAACCCAGCCAAGGGCCTGGCACGCAGCGATTGAATGTTATTAAACCACCTGGGCTCCACTCACCTCACACCTGTAGCAATTTTCATGGAAGTTTCTTCCCATGCACTCGATTTTGAAGGCATCTTTCCCATCCCGAGGAATGATGGGATTTTCACAGATGCTGCAGATGGGGGCAAATTTCCTAGAAGCAAAGGAACCCATGCTTGGGAGGTGTTCATGCTGCAACCACAGAAATTAATTAGCTGTCAGAACTTGGGCTGAGTGGAGTTCACCTCCTGAGCAATTTCAGACCCGTTGCTATGAGACTGCACTGGCAGCTACAAGCAGAGATGTCTATTTCTTCCTGGCAGGAGCAGGTGCAAGAGACCTGTGGAATGAGACCTGCTTTCCCAGCATCACTAGAGATTTCTGAATTGAGAACAATCTCTAGTGAGCCTGGAAACCAGGTCTCATTGGGGTTCAGTTGGGCTGGGATCCATCTCATCTTTTTTTTTTTTTTTTTTTT